TTATGGATAGGTTTTATTATTGCTTGCTTCAACCGGTAAGGGACAGTTCCTTCTTCAAAAGATTGATTAATTAGTAGGTAAAGGGGTAAGGTTAATTCATCTGCACAGTATTTGAACAAAATTGGCGGAAACTCGTCGATGCCGCAACTGTTTTTGCTTTTTAGTTTTTTCAATACCTTGTTCACCTCGTATGGGTCGACAAAGGTGAGAAGCATGGTATTTTCCATTACGTTGTGTAGTGGGGCAGTGTTTGGTTGTGTATCATGCTTATATGTAGTTTTCTCCCCAATAGAAGTAAAAAAGTCATTAAAGTAGCTAGCTATTTGTGTGGGTTCTGATATGAGGGTATTGTTGATTTGCAACTTTATGTTTTATTTATCTTCTTTTTGTTTTTTATTTGTCCGCTCGTTTATGATACTCCACATGGCCTTATTGTTTGATTTTACTATTTTATTTTTATAGTGGAGTTTTTTTGCCGTTGTTACTGTCTTTTTTAATATTTTTTCATATTTTTTATAATAATTAGTCAATATCGGGTTGTCTACTTTTTGTGTAAAAATTTTCATTAGTCTTTTGTTTCTGCAGGATAATTTAATACCTGCAGTTAACCAATACTTTTTAAAATGAGTTTTTAATTTTATTTTTCGTTTTGGTATGCACTCATTTAGGATAGTTGTTAATGTGTTGTTGAATGTATTATAATTTTCGTTTACATTTTGATTTGAAGGTAGTATATTAGACCAATTTATGGTATGCAGTTTCGATTTGAATTTTTTCATGTTTATTTGGCTATAAATTCTTTTTCTTGTATACCAGGTAATTTGTTTTATTTGCTGTTTGGGTTCAAGGTGGATAACTGTCCCCATATGGTCAGAAAAACCTAATTCTTCAACAGTTACAAATAATTTATTTGAGTTAAAATTTGTGAAGATCAAGTCCAAACATGTTGAAGTACCTTGTGTAATGCGTGTGGGATATTTAATGTGCTGTGTAAAGGACACCGACAGTTTTGTATGGGACTTGGGCCAAGGGGTGGACATTTTTATATTGAAATAAAAACGTTACTAGGTAGTAGCTGAAACTATGTAGAAACCAATAATATAATTAATTTAGTATCCAGGCCTATAAAACAAAAACAAAATGATTTTTGCAAATATTTAATTTCAATTGTCGTCACCATCACTTTCATACACAATCAAAATATTATCCAGAAACTGAGCTGGAGGAGTAACATTCTCATACCTTGCCCAACTTAGATACCAGATTACGGACATAATGTGAGAGCAACAACCCACAGTTCTTCGACCAACAATGCAGTTACAGTAATACTCTTTAATTGCATTTAAATGCTCTATATTACTGTCAAATAATATATAAATAAAATGTTTTCCTACTTATGTGACTGCTTTGTATTTTGGCCCTTAATAATGTGCAATTGTCGGCTGAAGGAAGACTTGGCAAAAGGTTGCTGGCTCTTTCTATACAAACTTCGACTGTATATGAACCATCACTTCTTATGTGTTCTCCAAAATATGATCTAGCCTGTTTTATTTGATAAGTTCCACATGCTAACAAAACAAGTTCATTATATTCTAATCTTGGAAACATCAGATTATCCATACTGACATGAATGTCAGAGAATTGTGTCCGTCTCCTATTTAAATTATTTAATATAACATAATCAGCCATCATATTCTCCATATTTATTTTTTCTAGAATTCTGTTAAGTATCAAGCCTGCATCAGGTCTATCTGATATTCTAGCGTGGAACCTATTTATCAAGGCAGCAGCTATTCTGAAATCTGATATTGCATGGGTTGAAGCAGTGTTAAAATATTCACTTCGAAATAATTTATATGACATTTTGAAAATCCCATTCACTGCTTCAACCACCCATCTGCAAATAGTCACTGTTCGTGATTTATTTGCTGCTGCTGTCGATAACTGTGTTTGACCTTGTTGCAGACACAGCGGCACATGTACACTGTATTGACAGTCTTCTAATAAGGAAACACAATCTCTGAAACCCCTATCCAGAATAAAAACATCGCCAGGTTGAAAATACCTTCTTAAAGCAGTGGTATTATTATTAAATTCATTAGACAATATATTTGCATCCGATGTTGTTGCAGGATATGGACCTAATACGTCTATAATATAACCATCTGAACATACCATCAAAAACGGCTTCATCAGGTTTCTATACTTGTGTAAAGAATAAGTATCTTTCTGGTACTTATAGTTGGAACTCTTCTGTATGTATAAATAGGTACCGTCCATTATAATTATGGGTTTCCTTTCTTCACCTCCAAAGAGCCCATTGGGTATAATCAGATTTCTCTCTGATATTTGGTCACGAGTTATGTGATTGATTCCTAGATTCCTAGGCACAAAGTCACAGAGTAATACTTCACGCACTCTATTTATGTAGGTGCCCAAAGTGGTCCGAGATACATTTAACAACATAGAAAGTCGTTCGTTAGAGTCACCAGTTCTTATTTTAATGAGAAATGCTGCAAGAGCTAAAGTGCTATTTGGCACCCTGTTTATATTAGGTACATCTGCTTTTATTTGCATAAACTGGTCCTTAGTTACTCCAGTCCAGTAATAAATTATGTCATCAGTCATTCGCTCCATTTTACTAAAATCTAAATGTAATTTCCTTTCTTTGACAAAGGAAGCAAAGTCTTGTATGTGACTAGCACTAAAATAATGAAGGGACTGACTATCATCTTCAATTATGTGCAAATTGTCATTTCGTAGATGGAATTGGCAAATTCGACATTGCTGTGGGATATAATAATTATACTCTGTAAATATATGTACTCTCAGCCACTTGGGAATCCTCAATCTCTCTTCAGAGTTACAGCCAGGGAAAAAACATTGTGATTGGGTATCAGCCGCTCTTCTCAAATCCGGCAAATGGATGGTTCCTTCTGGATTCTCGATTTCACCTTCACCTTCACTAACTCTCTCCACATTTCGAGTAACTTGCCTATTAGCTCTTTGCCAACAAGGATGACAAATTCTGTCAGATGCTCTCAACTAAAACAAAAATAAAATGGTATTGGATTTTTTTCTTAACTTATAGAATGCAATATAATCCTTACTGCATGTCAACTTGTCTTATTTTTGTATAGGTACTCATTTTAATTGAACTAGATAAATAACACTAGCTATTTGCATATCTCACAGTATTATGGGGAGATCATAGGTTCACAGAACTTTACTTTTAAAGAAAACTACTGCAGGCTACTGTATTGCAAGAAGTAGTATAATTATGTTACACTTACACTTCATTTATTACTAAACTACCATTTTAAACATAATTATCTGTTATGAGAAATAAGAAAACTTACCTCGAGTGGATCAATCCAATGTACAATAACATTTCTTATGCGTCTCTCCCGCTCTAAGTCAATGTTAAGGTTATGAGACCTATGTCTCATAAGCGACGATTTGCAGCTTACACATAGTTGTCTCTGACGCCCTGAGTCAGAACTTGATGAGGCTTCTTCATTTGGGATTGACACATTAAGAGTGTTCAATGCCACAGTCCAACATGAATGACATATTTGACTGTGACCTTCAATCTGTTGACAAATCAAAAATAAAAGTCAGCATTTATTACTTTTTGTTCATTAGATATATTATGCATTCAAAATAGTATTTAGTGCATTTGCATTCATTACCCATTTAAGTTGAAACATAAAATACTTACTACTTGCGGTGCAATCCATTGAAGAATTACATGTCGCACTTCAACTAAGTTAAGACTATGTCTCCTTCTATGAGTCACATCAGAAGCACAATTGATACAACGTATGGATTCATCATTATTAGGCATATTCAGAAAATCCGTGTTCAGGCATAAGTCGTCATGCAAATCAGGTTCAACATCCAATGAATTGCCAGGGTCAACGTTTGAAGAGGGTACAGGGTCCAAAAGTAAGCCGGGGTTGTCGTGAGAAGAATTATTAAAATCCATTTTGAATACAATATCCAAAAATAAACAAATAACAAATAGTAATACCGTGCGCGCCTAAGCCAATGCCAGACATGACATTAGTCAAATGTTGTTAGAGTAAGAAAATAATATACCCATGTGCTGTTTAATATTCTTCATCATAATTTATTTTTAGACATATATTTTGTCTTAAAAGGAGATATATATATATATAGAAAATATAAATAATTATATCTTGTAGGTATTACAGACTTCAAAGTACTTTTTAAGTGAGACTATAATTTATTAGTGTGTTTTTTTTATTCACTTTTTCCACTACTTATTTTTTGTATGCAACACTTCGACACGTTTCGCGCACAAAATGAATGGATGTACGTCATAAATAATGATAAATATTTTGAAATACTTTTTTTATATATGTTCACTTGATACTACCAAATTGTACTCATAATTATTTTATAATAAAAGAAAATTATGACCATTTTCATTTATTTATAAAACTGCTGTCCGCACCTTGGCCCAAATCGGTCAGCCTCCTTTGTGTTCCGACATGAGATCTAGGAAGTTGTTTGTTTTTGAATTATTTTCTAATATATTAATGTTGAAATCGCCTCCTATTATTACATTAGACTTAGGATATTTGTTATTTATGTATTTTAAAATCATTTTTAATTGGTTTATAAATACCTCTTCCTCTCTTCTATTCCAATACATAGTGATTAATAATATATTTTCTTGAGGTAGTTCACATGCACATACTTCTATAACTTACTAGATGGACATGTCTGCAATTACGTTGATTTCCCTGTGTTCTATGTGTTCACGTAGTAGCGTGCACACGCCGCCGCCTGTTCGATTGCTTCTGGTGTAGGATGATGCAATTTTATAGCCATTAATATTTATTGTGTCTTGTTTTAGTGGTGATAGCCAAGTTTCCGTGATACATATCGCTATATATAGTGTTTCTTGGGCTAAGAAGGCTTCCAAAATATGTTGTTTGTTATAAAGGCTTTGTATATTTTGATATAGTATTTTATAGTGTGGGACGGGTGCTTTTTCGAAAGGAATACTTTTTTGAGTTATTCCGTTGTTGTACTTGCTGGCTTAGGGTTATATCGTGTGAGATCTCAAGGGTACCACTCTTGCTTGGGCTTTCTGTTATTTCAGTTGTTTGATAGTTGTTGTGTGTATTATTCTCCTCGTCTTCTATGGTGACTTTATTTCCTTCTATAAGTAGTTGATTATTCTTAATTATTGCATTTTGACCCCTGTTTCTGGCTTTTATCATTTCTGCCCGCAGCAGATGTCGTTTTTTTAGGGCGATGTCGTCCAGGAATTCGGAGATGTATATCCTAGTTCCTTGTAAACACTGTCTATTAGCTGTAATAAATTTTGCAATCCTTTTGCTTAATAGCTCTATAACTAGGGGCCGGTGGTTGTTGGTATTTTTCCCAATTCTGTGTAAATCCTCTATATAGCCTAATATATTAATTTGCATAGTCTTTTCGAAAAAGTCAATTATTCTGGCGTGTAAGTTGTATTCAGACTCGTCGTAATATTCGGTAAAGCCATACAATACTAATTTCTTAGCGTTGGTTTCTTCGGTGTATGGCGTTTTGGGATAAAGACATGTGGTTGATAGATCCTTTATTTCAGTTTGTAACTTTTCATTCTCGAGTTTCAGTTTACTTATCTCTTAACTAATTTGTTTTATATCGTGTTTGTTCGTATTGGTTTGATAAAGCGTTTGTTTTTTGTTCTACTTCGTCTTTTAATTGTGTAATGGCTTTTTTTATTTCGGTCTGTATTGTGTTTTATAGCTCTGTTATTAGTAGTATGTTGTTTTCCCTTAGGCGTTCTATTATAACTTCATTTAAGTTTTTCAATATTACTTCGGTTTGTAGATTTGTTGGTGAAGCCGTCTCTCTATTCTCTGTATTTAATGTGTCGCCTAGCATATTTAAGTCGTCTGAGCTTACGCTATCATTATTCGTCTTTGTAGACCTTTTTCTAATGGTGACATTATTGTTTTCAGTAGTCTCAATGCAAGTGCTTGTTTGGTGCAAAGTTTCGTGATCTTGTAGGCGAATAGGTGTACTAGTATTGTCTATTTTGGGCATTTTGCAGCGACAAGTTTGACATTTCTATGTCTTTTTTTGTTCCATAGTCATTGTTTTATTAAAACGGTCTTTGGAAACATTAGCACATTCCAAATCATAGGTATTCTTACATAATATACATAGCAAATTTTCTCTGTACTCGACTTTTTGTTTACACCCAGGACATATCAAAGGTGCCATGGCGCCCTCTGTGGTTTTTTTTTTTCCCTTGGTGAGTAATGTGGTAAGTAGCCTGCTTAGGTTGTCGTGGTTCGTTATCTTATAGTGACCAGTGGCCTCTGTTTGTTATGTCTGGAATTAATTGCTCCAGCTGGTACGGGTCAATTTTTTATAGTTTTACCTTAGTGGTGTCGTAAACCTGTGGTAGATGGCGTAAGTTTGGTTTTGTATTGACGGAATGATCTTTGCACTTTTGTTGTTTTAATTACAATATAAGTATTTTGTACTTTTTAATACACTAATACACTGTTGTCGATGTAAGTTTCAACACTCTGTGTTCAAAATCACTTAGGGGTTGGAGTTTCTATTTCGAAGACACTTTTCACAGAATGTTCGTTAGAGATTTAATTTTGAAAATTACTCGGATTTACAGTATTTTAACTGTTTCCTTCATATTGTTCCGATAAACTATGACTTTATTATTAGATTTAAACACTTTTCACCACTTGTAAAATGATTTTAGTATTTTTTTATTTCACTTTTGTACGGACTCGAGGTAAAAGGTGGCACAGAAGCGCCCTCTCTAATAAAGCCGTGTCATCCGCATAAGATATTATGACACCACTTGTTATCTTCAGGCTGCAGAGATCATTGATATAAACTAAGAACAAGGTACAGCCAAGAACGCTGCCCTGGGGAAAACCATAGCCAGTATTCTTTGCTTCAGTACTTAAGTATTGACCAATTTTCACACATTGACGGCGATCACTAAGATAATCCGAAAATAAGCGAAGTTGTGTTCCCCGTATCCCAAGTGCTTCAAGCTTATTCAAAAGTATAGAGCAAGATATACATACTATCGAAAGCTCGGGCGATGTCTAGGAAAATCCCGATGGCGTGCATTCCCCCGTCCAGACAACAAGCTATGTAGTTTGTTAAGTGGTGTACTGCATGATTAGTGGATCTTTTCTGCCTAAAGCCGTATTGGTTCTGGGAAAGCAAGTTGTTGTCTTCAAGGTATTTCATCAACCTATTGTTTATAAGTTTCTATGAAATTTTCGAAAGTCCCGATAATACTGAGATTGGTCTGTAGCTGTTTACACTTGTTTTATCTCCTGATTTAAATACAGGCGTCACTACTGCTTTTTTAAGCGACCTAGGGAATACACCTTTCTCTAAACATAGTTGGAATATATAGGTTAAGGGGGGGGGGGGGGGGAAGGGCAATTATATGTTTAAGACTTTTAAGTATATTATTGGAAATGTTATCCCAGCCTACAGCACAATTTTGTTTTAGTCCAGATATAATGTTTAATACTTCATTAATATCAGGACTTAGCAAAACCAAGGAGTTCAGTTTATACGAAGGCATAAATTTATTTAATTCGGGGGGGTCGGCAGTACTATTCTGAAAGAGTTTATCAGCAAGGTTTCTGCCTGTGTTTGCAAAATGTTCGTTGACCTTGCGAATTGCTTCGGACGGGCTAGTCTCGCTGAGCAGCAAGTCTAGAGGCGGTTCAAAATATTTCGACTGAAATGTTTTGATGAATGATTTTTAATAAATTTCCAGACAAGCTTGCTATCTTTACCTGCTCTCTGCAGTTCACTTCTCTTATACTGGCTCTTTAATTTCTTGAAAAGGTTATTGCAGTAATTTCTGTACCTTTTATAAGATATAGAAAGTACTATATTATCAGGCTCTAATTTAGACTTTTGGTGAAGTTTGTCTCGGTGTCTTATGCAACGTTCGAGTCTAGGTGTGATCCATGGCTTTATATTTTTATATTTTCTAGGTATGGTTTTTACGGAAGTATTTCTCATTATTGTACATTGCAATAAATTAATAAAATAATCCAAGGCATCATTTGGATCGTCCGAGTTGTAAACGGGGTCAAAACAAATACTGCTTATATCACTTTTAAGGCTTTGAATGTTGACTTTAGTATAGCTGTGCATTCATTTTTTTCTAAACAAAGATAATTGCAGTGTTAATAAAACAGTCTGATGGTCGGTAAGAGTGGTGTTAATGTAAAGGTAGGTTTATTGGTTTTTATGATGAAATGATCCAAGCATGTACCACTTTGGTGGGTGGGGTAGTAGTGTGCTGGTAAAAGTCCATGAAATGAACAAATATTTGAGTAGTTTTGAGCGTTAGTGTCGGTGCTCCCAGAAGCAATATTAATGTTGATATCACCAGTTAAGATTATATTATTATATGATGAGAGGGTTTTTAATTGAATGTTACGTTGTAACAAAGTAAATACACAAACTTACAAAATAAATAAATAAAGAAAAAAAGATCATTACACACAGACAAACAAAGTAATAGTTGTTATAATGGAAACCGCGTGCATTAACTAGTGATAACATCATAATGATCATATAAGGTAATCGTCGGTATCGGGAGCCAAATTGTACTGGAAAACGAGCGCCGCAGTGTGGGTGTTTAGAAATATCGAGAAGTGACAGTGGCTGACAACGGGCCGGCTGCCGGTGAATGATTTCTTCTTGCTCGGTTGCACCGTTCTTTCCATATCTCATACGAACATTCCAGAAAGAACGCATTGTCGCCTCGAAGCGGAAATGGGCCGTCCCGATACAGAGGTATAAAAGCGAATCCGCGGAGGAAAGAGGTATTTCGACGCCTGAGAGTTAATTGTTTGCGATTCGTATACGTGATTGTTTGTCCACAGTTTTAAAACGTTGTCCAATCAGTGCTATTCTAAAATAATAAAAATAAAAGAAGAAAAATTAAAAGCGGATTTCATTATTTGTCGACCCCCTTGGTAAGTTTAATATAATTAATACCAATAGGTTTGGTTGCTGTTAACTAATTTTTCGTGTCTGGATTAATTCGATTACTATTCAACAAGTGATCTTTTCAACCTTTTAATAGTTTAAAGAATTGCTAATAATAGTTTGCCTAATAATAGTTTAACAACGTTAACGCAATGTAACAGCGAGTATCTTAAGGTTAGTTAAATATTACAATTATCTATTTAATCATTCCGATAAGTTTTAAATATGTTCCATCGCGTTATTTAATTCCCTCTGTGTATTCCACGCGTGTGTGGTTAACATCGGTGGCTTGTATGTATCTTAATAAGAACCTATAATTCTATAATATTTATTTTGTAGAAATTCCATAAATTATAAATTGCATTCGATACTTGATAATAATAAGATTTGGTTTTTGTAGGGTAGTCTATAAACAATTGCAACCGAGAATTGTATTCTAGATTGTTCATATGAATAATAAACTCATACTTATGTAATTAAAATGTTTGACACATATTTTAATCTTGTTTAGGTTTTAAAGACAAGTATATAATCGATGGATTGTTAAACATAAAATCTACTTCCTCGTACTAGTTTAGTTAGAATAATTTCCACACATAGCTGGGAGATTTACTGATAAGATGTTATGATAAGAGGGATTTCTCGATGTACCGACGAAATAAATATCAAAGGTCATTGTTCCATTCGATATATTATTGGTAACTACCTGTATTTGTGTGTTGGTTGTAATGTAATCTTTTCTTTTGTGTCTCATAGCGTAGTGGAATGGTGATCGTCCGGCTTATTAACAGTTGGGGTTTGATTCTGGGTTGGTTAATTATGTTTTATTTAAATATTTGATTTTTTTTTTATGTTTCAACCGGACCTAAATGTCGCCACTCCAATCCGTAATTTTTTTAATTGCTTCGCGAAAGATGCCGACTTCCACACCTGGTTTCACCTAGTGCCTGGGTGTCGGATCTTTCGTGCTACAAGTGTCAATTCGACGCGTTCCAGGAAACTGGGGGTTCTTCGTACGGCTTTGGTTCTCCGTACGGCTTAGGTTCTCCGTACGGCTTAGGTTCTCCGTACGGCTTAGGTTCTCCGTACAGCTTAAATTCTCCGTACGGCTTACGTTCTTCGCGCGGCCTACAACAACGGTCTGCAAGATCTTGGCCTCGGTCTGACTGAGAAACACCACGCGACACGGTCTGCCGTCGCGAGTCTACCCGGATCACCGTGAACCACAGGACACCTTCGAGTTCCCCCGAAGACTGGGGAAGTTCCTCGCCAGAAGACCCTCCCCGCGCACTGTGGAATATGGTAGAACAAAGGCATATCAAAATTGATTTTTATCACTGATTGAAATTGGGCACTTTATGAATGTAATTTAAAAGTTCAGAAGTCGAGGTTTAATATTCTGCAGCGTAACTCCTATTGT